GAGACATATTGTGAATAGGGCTTAGCCAAAACCAAACTATTAGAAATTTCACCTGGTATACTTGACATGCTGGTCTTTCATGTGAAGCATTTTCACTTAAAGGTGTTTTTAATATGTAATATAAGTAGTAATATGAGTATCAAAAATAGACAGGAAACCTTAAAGACAGTCTTATATTTTGGTTATTTCTGGGTATTTTAAAATTGTGTCTGAAAAGTTCCTTCAATACTTTCATTCAAAGGAGTCTGGGAGAAAAGGGCCTTAGAGAGATACTCCAGACCCATCATAAAACTGAAGACAAAAATGTATGGTAGTTTATTAAATTTACAACTTCAAATTCTATTCAACTCAGATACTACAACAGATCCTACTCAACTTAAAAGTTCTTCTTATAACTTTCCTCATGAAATTTTAACCATTATTTCAGAACTACAATATGTTGGATATTACTAATTCAACACAGATCTAAATTTATTTTGTTGAATTCTCTGCTGCAGAATTTGTAAGTGGATAAGTAGTCCATCTATATCACTTGTGGCAAGTTACATTCTAAATTGCTCAGGAAAAATATATAAGGGCACTACAAATGTAGACCAAGCTCATTACCCTCCATTTAAATCTCAACAACTTGTGGCATCCAAATTGGAATGCTCTTTATAATGTCTTTGATATTACCCTGACTAGAGAAATTGTCAAGTCTTGTCCAGATTGCCAAATTAATTCTTCTGCTTCATACAATCAGGAAATTACCCAAGAGGTCTGGAGTCAAATGACTAATGGCTAATGGATGTCACTCATTATGTAGAATGTTCTGCAATACCTATTCTAATGTTATCCATGCTACAGCCATGACTGTTAAAGCACATTTTCTATCAGCATTTGCTTCATGGGAAAAGCCTTTGATATTTAAACTGAAAATGCGTCCAGATCCCACACCAGGCTGTTTTCACTGGGGCAACTCTGAGGGGTGGGTTGAGTTTCCCCTCTTCTCCCCAACAGAGCCCCAGCAGACAAAAACCTCCAGAACACAATCACTGCCATGCTCATGGCCGCTGTGGAGAACAGGCTTGGATGAGTCTCACCCACGAGAGAATCTGCAGAAAAACCCAGGTATATGGGACTGTGACTGAAATTTCCAAACTCACTCTGAGCAGGAAGGGGCCTCCTTCCCCATCTCCAAAGTTACCAGTAGCTTGACATAACACCCACAAACTGTCCCTGCGCCATATAATCTCATCAATGACCATGATCCAGGGACTCAGAAATAAAGCTCCCGGAAGAGAGCAACATAGGCCTCACCCATGAGTGAATCTATTGTATAATCATATTATAAATTCCTGGAGCCTCTCATATGCTACACCACTGATATATCAATAGTAGCACACAACATTTGATTGCGTTTAATAAACAAGTTTGTAATCTCTTATCCAAGAACTTAATGGCTCCAGGATGAAATATAACAATCTTCACACACTTTCTCTAAGGAAACTTTATTGGACCATTTTTAGCAGATTATTCATAACAAACAACAAAAATTAATTGTTTCGGTTCTGCTTTGGGGGGCACAGTATGGGATTTGGGGTGAAAACATTAAAAATATGGTGGGGAGGTGCAATGGTGGTGTGATTGGTGTTTGAATATTAAATATAATGAATTACTGTGAACAACTTTATAAAGATAAAATTAAATTAATAAATAAAATAAAACCGAAAATTGCCTATTTATACTTCAAAAAGATTTTTACAATCCAGTACTTGCTGGAGCTTTATGTTGTCCCAGGGAGTAACCTACAACCTACAAGATCATGCCATGGAAGAAAAGTTCACTTAAATATAAAAACTCTGCTCAAGAAAAGGAGAGATATTGGAGTAGAGTTTTATAATTGAATTATACCATAATTACTACTTTATTTACTTTAAATTTTTTAAATTTTGATTCCCAAGGACTCTTGGTTTCACTAACACATGAACAGCACTGACAATTCACAAAAGTACTAAGTTCTTTTTAAACCCTTGCTAAAACACTCCTTGTGAGAGCCAGGGGAATTAATGTAGGAGTGAGGCTATACTTGTGTCCCACAGTAAAACCAGTGGTATCTCCAAGCAAGAAGATTAAAACACTACTCTAAGTCAGCATCAGATGCCCCTCCCTTTGGATGATGAAACAGAGATGCCTCACACTTCAGGAATGACTCCCACACTGGAGTACAAGGTTATCTAACTCCACAGAAGCACAGAACCAAATAGAACTATAGAATCTAGATCACCTGGGAGGACTCAGGATAGCAGGGAAACAGCATAATGTGACACACCAAGTTCAGGGACTATCTAACACCCCGGAGCATCTGCTTCTAGCAATAACATTGAGAATAACCCATAATTCTTTACTATTTTTGGTCATGTTATGTTCTGATCATTTCCCTTAACAGGTGGCTGTCATTTATATGGGTGCATCTAATTAACCTCTCTTTTTGATCTAGTAACTCAGAATATAAAAAAAAATATCCTGCTTCCTAAGAGAAGCTTCTATTGATGGGCAAATCATTACTCCAGCTGGAAAAACTAAAATCAGCAAGGGAGTACCAAGTCCTGCAACAAAAGGCCTTGATAATACAAACCAGAGTTCTCTGTGAATTTCTACATGTGTGTGTATGACCTTGTGCATGTGGTGTAACTGTGTTCTCTTCTAATCAATCTGTACCTTGGAATGAAGTAGAAAGCCATTTAGGCATTGTATTCCACTGAAACTTGTCAAAAATAATTAACAGTTTTTAAAAAATTATTGCATCAGCAAATGAACATTTTTGGGTATTTGTGGAATAACCTCAATCCCGCAGGCTAGAATTTTGAGAGACCACTAAAATTTAGATTCTTGCAGGAACTGCAATGCTAATCTTATTGATAATTTATAACAGCATCAAAATCCTATACTGGATCCAGAGAGGGCTGCATCCAGAAATCAGCATCATCTTCAACCACTGAAAAACTTGCCTGGAAGAGGCATCATATCCATTGGAGTCCTCATTTAAATATCATTAGGAAGGAAATTTGGGAAATTCCCCCTCTCCCTCCCCCCCCCCCCCCCCCAGTTATAACCCAAATACCAGGATTATCCCCTGGGCAAAACAGCATAGGTCGTAGAATATAAATGGACAACAAAAATGCACTTGGGAAAGAATAGAATAGATGAAAAACAGACTACACCTGCAAAAATACTTCCAGGAAAGAATATAATAAAGCAGTTCAGAGTCTTTTAGATGTAGAGGGTAAAATAAATGGGCAAAAGATAAACCAGGAAATCATCATGACTTTATAAATAAAGGTGCCTGCTGTTCATGTACCTATTAGATGTTGATGTGCTTATTAACTGTGTTTGATATATCTGTCAGCTTTAAACAGTGGCTTGTCTGTTGGGAGCCATGGTGGAGGGCAGTGCTGTGCCGAGTGAATTGCTTGTCTGTGAGACCACTAATGACTGCAAAGACAACCAAGTTTGGACTTTCAGTTTGTTTGTCTTCCTATGTGTTTGTCTCATTCTCTGCAACCAATACCAGTAGGGTGTGTTGTACAACGAGTTTGGCAGGATTCATGAGGGGCAATAAAAACAAAGGTAAACAAATGTGACGACATCGAATAAAAAAGCTTCTGCACAACAAAAGAAATTCAAAATAAAAATAGAAATAAAAAGACGCCCTATTGAACGGGAGAAAATATTGCACACAATGCATCAGATAAAGGCTAATAAAGGCTAATATCCAAGATCTATAAAGTACTCACAAAACCAACAACAAAAACTCCCATGCCTACCAAAAAATCAGGAAAGGAAATGAGTAGACACTTCCACGAGCATATAGCTAGCACACATGTGACAATGTGTTATCATCACTTATGATTTGGAAAATGCCAATTAAAACAACATTTAGATATCTCACCTCAGTGAAAATAGCATATACCAAAAGTCTAGAAATAGCCAGTATTGGTGGGGTTGTGGTGAAAAAGGAAGCCACATTCACTGTTGTTGGGGATATGATCTTTCTAAAGAGAAGGACTAGAACTCCCATACAATCCAGCAATACCAATTCTTGACGTATTCTCCCAAGCCCTCCAAGGGAAACCTAGGCTTATTACAGTGCTTAGTACAATAGCCAGGATATGGCAACAGTCCAAATACCCACTTCAGATGAATGGATTAAGACCTGTGGTATATATATGCAAGGGAATACTGGGTAGCTCTAAGGACAAATCATACAAGTTGCCACAGCATGATTGGAGCTAGAGGCTATCATACTGAGTGAAACCAGTCAAAAGAAGAGGGACAGATACAGAATCATTTGTCTCATATGTGGTATATAATGATACACAGTAAGGTAGAAACAAAGACAATGGAACTGAAAAGTTGGCCCACAGAACTGAGTTTGTAGGAGTCTAGAGTTGAAAGGACAGTGTCTTTGGGATATTGATGGACGAAAGTGGGTACTCTGGTGATGGGGTGGTGCTGAAATGATGTATGTATTATTAACAATACTGTAAATCACAAAACCTCAATAATTTTTAAAAATTAAGTGCTCAATAAATGAGAATCTTAAGCAGGACTGTATTCTCTGCTTTAAGTAAACTTAAAGCCGTTATTATTCACATGTAGATTCTCCAACAGAACTCCAGCATCCAACTGTCTCACAGAATTGTGAAGGCAACATTGGCAACCAACCTCCAGCAGGTAAAAAAAGACACCCGGTGGAGTAAGAGATATACACAGAACCATACTGCTTCCTCACATCCGAATGAAAGGCTCTTACACTCTCCTGTTAAGTATTCCCAGCAGGCCAAGAGACGATTAACTCTTATTGAGGGTGTGGATAAAGGGATGTACCCATACTCAATACAGCTCTATTTTCCAACCTCACAAGAAATTCCTGCTGACTTCGTAGGGAAAAGTATCAATGGAAAATTCCAGAAAATAAGGGTTTGGCATTTATTATTCTAAAAGTCTTTTCTACTGACCTTGATGTTACTCCAGGCCTGGTGGGAGAGGAACTCTACTGGACTGGTGATGCCTGTCTGTACTGAAGATCGAAGGAGGAAGTCCAACTCTGCTGCTCCAATTTCCTGATTCATGAGCAGGATCTACCATGGAAGAAGAACACCATATTTCTTTAGTTGGTATCATCAATCCTGGGATCCTGTATTATGGGTTATTGCTACTGCTAACGTTAGAAACTGTCCGGAAACTTTGGCAGTTGAAAGTAGGTTGAGTGAAAAAAAGATTGTAACTGCACAAATCACTTCTGTATGCTTCTCTTTTACCCCAATATGAACATGTTTTAAATTCAGCGAACTGAGCATAGATCTTAATTCACAGGCACTGGATATATTAGTAATTTAAATGCAATGAAGAATATCACAGCAAAGTAATTGAAGAAATGTGATGATTGGAGTAGTGTTTCAGTGAAATATATGAGTATATGTAAAATGATAGTGTTCACATAAGTAATGCTTAAGGAGTTTCAGAATAGAAAGGTGGTCAGCAAGCAGGGGTGGGAAATTTTGTTAATTTAATTTTTTCTAACTGGGTCTTGGAGAAGATAGCTGTGATATGGGAATATTTAAATAGTGAGGGAAGCTTTCCAAGGAGGGGTAGTGAGAAATTCAGAGACTTTTGGGAACTAGCGAGATGTGTTTTTGTGGGTTGGCGTGAGGAGGTGGGTGGCATTGGGGTGGTGGGCATTTGCTTTAGTCAGAGTTAATGACTCACATTGAAGAATCACTTGGGAAATTTTTACTTCTCCAATTCAAATGATGTTTTTGGCTGAGATGTTGCAAGTGGGAATATTCACTGAGAAAGTAATTTGACCAGTTGAGAAAAATAATTTGACCAATTTAAAACAGTGTCTAAAGAGAAAATAGACTTGAAAAGCCGTCGTAAGATGAGACAGAAATATTTGTGAGATCAGAAAAATAAAATATAGTTTTTTCCAAAGAAAGTTTTTTTTTTTTCAGAAAAATAACTCTTAGGGTCTAGAGCTATTAGAGGCAGAAGAAAATCATCCCAGCATGTGTATTCAAATATAATAATGCCCCACTTTTTTTCTGTATATATAGGCTTAAATGGAGATACAGAGGAAGATAGGCATAAGCCACATTAATATTCACCCACAAATTTTGGCTTTGAAAAAAGCAATTATATCAGAAGTGATAATAGAATATCTGAATTTTCATATTGGAAGTCTTTAAGAAAATCTAGCCAGTACTACTAATATATCACTTGATACCCCATTGCTCATCAATTTGCTCGAGTGGTCGCCAGTAAGTCTCCATTCATCCCTGTTGCGTGCTAGCATAGGCCAATGGCATCTACTCATTCTAGGAACATGAAGAGTCTCAAACTGATCATTCAGGGTCTTGACAAATAAGTGTGACCATCTCGTAGGTGGGTGTCCACGCGATCTTTTGACATCTCGTGGAATCCAGTCTGTAATGGCTCTAGTCCAGCAGATCTTCTCTAAATCTCATTACGTGTCCAGCCCATCTGATTTTTGATGCCTTGGCAAATGAGACGGCGTCCTTGATTCTTGAGGGTTGACGGTGGTCGGAACTCCGGATTCTATCTCTCATTTGAGAGAAGCGTGATACTCCAAGCATAGCTCTTTTGATTCTTCTTTGAGAGACCCGAATAGTGTTCTCATCCTGTTTTTGTAGGGCCCAGGTCTCTGAGGCGTATGTTAATGCATGAAGAACAGTGGAATCGAAGAGATGTGCTCGGAGCTGGAGGTTCTATGTTCTCTTAGTTATTTCTTCAACGCTCTTGAAGGCATTCCAAGCCGCTCTCTTCCTCCTGCGTAATTCAGGTGCCAGGTCATTCGTCATGTTGACTTCTTGACCTAGGTATGTATAATGGTTGCATTAGGAGATGGTCCTTCCATTGAGAGTGAATGGAACATCAGGAACAAGACTGTTTCTCATGAACATTGTCTTTGTGAGATTCAATTGTAATCTGACCTTTCCAGACTCACAGTCAAAGTCGGTCAGCATTTATGCCGCTTGGCTGATGTTTGGTGTTATTAGAATGATGTCATCAGCAAAGCGGAGGTGGTGTAGCTGCTGACCATCTATTTTCACTCCCATTCCTTCCCATTCCAGTCATCGCATGACGTTCTTGAGGGTGGCACTGAAGAGTTTCAGTGAAATAGTATCACCCTGCTGAACCCCTCTCTTGACACGGATGATCACTTCTTTGTAGAATGCTGAGATCCTGGTAGTGAATCCGTAATACAGCTCATGGAGGATCCTGATGTATTGAGTTTGAATGCCCTGATTGGCTATGGCTTCAATGACCACTTCCATCTCAACAGAATCAAAGGCCTTCTTTAAAACAATGAACGTTAGACAGAGCGGCATCTTGAACTCCTGAGAAACCTCAATGAGCTTGGTTATCATGTGGATATGGTCGATGGTGCTGAATCCTTTTTGGAACCTGGTTTCCTCGCATCGTTGTCCTTCATCTAGTGTTCTTCCAATCCTATTCAAAATGACTTGAGTGAACAGCTTGTAGATGACAGACAATAGGCAGTTTGTGCGATAGTTGCCAATGTCATGGATGTCTCCCTTCTTGTATAGTAGTACAGTCCTGCTGGTTTTCCATTGGGATGGAACCTTGTATTCAGACAGGTAGCATGTGAAGAGCTGAGCCAGCGTATTAGTGAGTACTGATGGTAGGTTCTTCAGGTGTTCAGGTCTGACCTTGTCTGGGCCAGGTGCTCTTTGTTTCTTTACTGACGAGATGGCGTGTTGGATTTCGGAAGGAAGAACTTTGGGAATGACATATCCAACCTGCGGAATTTGGTATGTGGTAAAGTGGATGTGGCTATTAAAGAGATCTGAGTAGAAGTCATGAATAATCTTCTCCATTGCCCTTCTGGAAGATGTGATAGATCCACCAGGACGTCGGAGGACAGTCATCTTGGTCTTGTAGTTGGTGAAGGACAGGCGGGCATTACGAATGCTTTTCCCAGCTTCTGATGTATCTACCAGCACTGCTGCTCTTCTGTCTTGAGGTCATCCTTGATCGCTTCTCTGTACTGTTTTGCAAGCTCGGGCATTCACTTGCGGTTGCCTGAGGCATGCACCAAGCCACATTGGCGAATAAGCTCAAGAGTGTTCGAAGAAAGGCTTTTTTTTGTGGTTATCTCTCTCTTGGCATTCCTCGCACAATCATGGAGGTGCTGAACCAGTCGATCGTATTCCTCGTCAATGTTGTCAATGACAGTATCTTCCCATGTTGCAGCAACAGTGCCAAAGAGCTCCCAGTTGGTGGTCGCTCTGGGAGTTCTCTTATTAAACTTTGCATTCCTTTCTCCCCGCTCTGTGAAGTAGAATTTTGCATGATTTTGACGGTGGTCCAATCTCGTTTGGAATTTTGGGACAACAGTGACATCAGTCAGGCAAAACCATTGATTGAATATGATGTGGTCTATTTCATTGTGGAACCGTCCACTGGGAGACTCCCATGTCCAATGTTTAGATTCGGCCTTTTGGAACTGTGAGTTACCATGGATGGTCTTTGTTGACATGATGAACTCAGACAGTCTGTCACTCTGTTCGTTCCATTCTAGGCCATGGGTTCTGATGTTGAGTTCTTCAGCTGAACTTCTCAGTCCTATCTTGGCATTAAAATCACCCACAATGATCTTGTAGAAGGTGTGGTCTTCTTTATAGAACTTCTCCAGATCTATGTAGAACTTCTCAATTTCTCCTTCACTATCATTGGATGTTGGTGCATAGACAACGAAGATAGAAACTGCCGGCAGTGAGCCACATCTATTCAAGTGTAATCGTCCGATTCCGGTTGTTATGCATTTGAATGAATCAATGCTCATGGCTAAGTTTGTGTTGACAAGGATACCGACACCACCGACACCTCTTTTGTCACATGTTCCAAGTAACATTTCTTCTCCAGTGTCAAAAGTGGCGTGATGTGATTGATGCCTTCTTGTCTTGGACAGACCAGTGATGTTGTACTTGATCTTTCACGCTATACCATTAGGTCCTCGATGGATGCATCAGATGCCGGCGCATGTGCATTGAAAGTACAGACAGTCATTTTTGTCTTTCTTTGTTTTGGCAGCCTAGTTCGGCCTTGAGATTTTATCAGCCTCTCATTCCACATCCTTCTCAACTCTGTATTCAGGGTGAGGGGAATGAGATCCATTTTTTTTTTTTACTGGATTTGGCATATCAAATATACCACGGATAGCTTGCCAGGCTCTGCTGTGTGGGTGGGATATTCTTGGTAGCCTGAAAACACAAATAAACTTTACACGTGTCCTTATTCAGGCATATGTGCTGTTATGATACTCTTGGTAGCCTGCTGGGTTCTCTGAGAGTGAGAATTAGAGAATAAGAAGTCATACTAATATACATGATCCTAATTTACAAGAGTCTTCAAGAAAATTTAGCCAATTATAATTTATAAATGAAAAAGGAAAATCTTAGTAATAAATGATTGGAAGGATTAATTAAAGGAAATAAATTTTCAAGTTTTATTTGCAGGGGTACATATAGTGATACTCAAGTCTTACTCCTGACTCTGCTTAGGAATCACTCCAGGTGGCTCTCAGGAGAACCACATATGGTTCTGAGATTGAATCTGTGTTGGATATGTACAGCACAATAATCCTACCAGCTGTACTATCTTTCCAGCTCCAATTTTCAGCTTTTTTGATATTGAGAATAAGTGGAGTACAAGGATTACTTGTAAATATTTGGGATCCTAGTTGCTTAGAAGCCTATGAAAACCAGACTTGTTAAAGGTCAACTCTGTTCTCTCTAGAGGAAGGCATGTGATTTCTTATGCTTGAAAAAGGTTGTCATATTAAAACTAGAAATCCATAGGTACATAATTAATAAAGGTACAATTTGTTGTGACACGTTACTGGTGCCCGCACGAGAAAATCAATGAACAATGAGAGGGCAGTGCAGTGCTACATTGTTAGAGTAATTCGAGAGTATCTGATAATTGGTAGCACTGTAGCACTGTCCTCCCTTTGTTCATCAATTTGCTTGAGTGGGCACCAGTAACATCTCCATTGTGAGACTTGTTACTGTTTTTGGAATCGAATACTCCATGGGAAGCTTGCCAGGCATTGGTATTGATGTCCAATTTCAGTTTTATTGCCAGTTTTCTAGAGATTGGTAATGGATTTTGGGGGTATGTCTAGAGGGATTTCTAGAACATCCAGGGTTAACAAGAAAAGTAAAATGATTGATTAAACTTGACTTCTTGGATCTGGGCAATTGCAGAATTGGCATGTGCCCCATTTAATCTTCTTATCTGATGCCTCTCTCTATACTGCGCATAGCAATGCAGCAGTGATAAAGAATCAAATTTCTTTGCATCTGTTCTTTTGTCACAATAAAATGTACTGCTCTCCTGCCAGGAGTACTTCCTGAGTGCATGAACCAGGAGTACCTCCTGTGCATCGCCGGGTGTGACCCGAAAAGAAAAAAAAATGTACTGCTCTGTAAACGTATTTAGTTTCCTTTTACCTGAAAGGTGAGCTGGGCAAGGTAGGTGAGTTTATCGCACTCAAAGAGCCCCCGGGTGGTGTACTGGTACACAGAGAAGGTGATGCTGTCTATGAGGTTGGCCACCCGCTCCTGGAGGTTTTCATTAGGAGCAGCCTTTTCCACAGCCTTCTGGAAGACGATACTGAAAGCCTGGAACAAAAGTTAAGATAATATTAATTTATAAAACTCTTTTAACTCTTTTGGATACACTAGCAGTGCTCAGGGCTTACTCCTGGCATTGCTTGGGGAATCACATCTAAATATAGATAGAACCAGGCCTCCCATGTTCAAAGCCTGTCCTTCACCCCTGTGAAATATCTCCAAAATCTGTAGCTTTACTCTTTGACTCTAGTAGTGTTATGTCTAAAGAACATTATATTGCAAGTCACAGAAATATTTTCCCAGAATAACTTACTAAGAAGTGTAGTTATAAGAAAACATGCTATTAGGGCGGAAGTGATACTACAGGGTGTAGAGCGTTTGCCTTGTATGCAGCCAACCCAGGTTTGATCTCTGGCATCACATATAGTTCCCTGAGAACTTCCAGGAGTAATCCCTGAGTGCAGAGCCAGGACTACCCCCTCAGCATTGCCAGGTGTGACCCCAAAAGTCAAAAATTGAAACATAGAACAGTATAATAAAAATATATATGTAAAAAGTATTATTAGTTATCTTCTTAGTTCATAGATATTTTTATGTTTTCACAAAGAGTGCAAAGCTGTGCTATATACAGAGAAGAGTCTGTGGCCAAAACAATTGAACTTGAATCGCATGAGTGTTTGTTGGATGGCTACCTCAGAAAAAGAAAACAGTTACCAATAACCTGTTGGAATTAATGGTTCTATCCACAAAATCATAACATTCTACTCTAGTAGAATTAATGTTCTGTACAAGTGTGTAATTAAAAAAAGACCACTGTAACAATAGGAATTTAGAACATTTTACAGTTGTATTATGGTAATGATCAAAATTCCACATTTTTTTCTCCTCCAGTTATTTGATGAGTTCTCTTGTGATAAATTCAAGAAGACTTATTTAAAAATTACTTCCTTTTTTCCCCCCTGGATAGCAAGATGGCGGCTGCCTGGAGCTTTTTGGAAAGCCAGGTATGAGCCGGAGGTGATGGGGAAACTGAAACCTCATGGGAAGGGGGGGCATTCCCGGCTTGTCCTCACAGTTTGTCCCCCACGAGCGGTTCTTCTGCACAGCCATGGCTCCAGAAGCACAAGGACTTAATGCAGAGCCTGGCAGCTTGCGGCAAAAAATTGAATGACTATGTGTTAATCCACGGCACCATGCCTGCCCGGGAGGGAAAGGGTGTTGCTCCCTTCTGCCTTTTTCCCCCTGGACAGCAAGATGGCGGCCGCCTTGGAGCTTTTTGGAAAGCCAGGTTTGAGCCGGTGGTGACGGGGCAACTGAAACCTCATGGGAAAGGGGGCATTCCTGGCTCGTACTTCATGCCCTATTGAGGTCATGGGCTGCCCTCCACGAGGGCATGGCCATGGCTCCAGAGTCACAGAAACCAATCTCATAATTATCTGGCTCTTGACAGAAATACTTCCAAGCTTAATAAGTAAAATATCAGAAATCTAAAATCGCGGGGCCGCAGTAGCAGCTGTGCGACATTATTCAGTTCTTGTAACCAACTGTAGAAAACAAATTATTTCACAATACCTTTTCAACAATCAACGCGCGCCCAACGTGGGGCTCGAACCCACGACCCTGAGATTAAGAGTCTCATGCTCTACCAACTGACCTAGCCAGGTGCTGGAGCGATAGCACAGCGGGTAGGGCATTCGCCTTACAAGTGGCCAACATGGCCGACCCGAGTTCAATTCCTCCACCCTTCTCGGAGAGCCCGGCAAGCTACCGAGAGTATTCGATATGCCAGACACAGTAACAACAAAGTCTCCAATGGACGTTACTGGGCCCGCTCGAGCAAATCGATGATCAACGGGAGGGCCTTTATTTATTTATTTTATACCTTTTCAACAGGTCTGATTTGGGGGTGTAAATTCAAAACAATAATGGTGTATCTTTTGTCGAAACAATGAATCTAATCAAAGTATATAGAGTGTTAGAATTCATCTGCCTCACAGGCATTGGGAGGGGTGGGAGGGGGGTATATTGGGGTTCTTGGTGGTGAAAAATAAGTATCGGTGAAGGGAAATGTGTTTGATGATTGCATGACTGAGATTTAAACCTGAAAGCTTTGTAACTTTACCCACAGTGATTCAATAAATAAATAAATAAATAAAAATTCCTTCCTTCCTTCCTTCCTTCCTTCCTTCCTTCCTTCCTTCCTTCCTTCCTCCCTCCCTCCCTCCCTCCTTCCCTCCCTCCCTCCCTCCCTTCCTCTCTGTCTTCTTTCTCTCTTTCTTTCTCTTCTTTCTTTCTTTCTTTCTTTCTTTCTTTCTTTCTTTCTTTCTTTCATTGAATCACCATAAGATACACAGTTACAGAGCTGTTCATGGTTGGGTTTCATACAATGTTCCAATACACATCCCTCCACCAGTGTACATTTCCCACCACCTATGTACCCAGTTTTCCTCTCCGAGTTCCCACTCTCCAGCCTGCCTTTAATGGCAGGCACTCTCTGTCTCTGTCTCTCTCTCCCCATTTAAGCATTATGGTTTGCAATACAGATACTGAGAGATTATCATGTTAGTTCCTTTACCTGTTTTCAGCACAAAATTTTATCCAGAGTGATGATTTCCAACTATTTTTGTCATAGTGGTTCCTTCTGTATCCCAACTACCTTCTCCCCCCAGCACTTGAGGCAGGCTTCCAAGCATAGACCAATCATCTTAACCCTTGTTTCTACTGTCCTTGGGTATTAATTTAATATTATTATTATTATATCCCACAAATGAGTGCAATCATTCTATATCTGTCTCTCTCCTTCTAACTCATTTCACTTATCATGACACTCTCCATATTTACCCGATTACAAGCTAATTTCATTGCTTCATTTTTCCTTAACAGCTGTGTAGTATTTTATTGTGTAGATGTACCACAGTTTCTTTAACCAGCCATCTGTTCTTGGGCACTCAGGTTGTTTCTAGATTCTGGCTATTGTGAATAGTGTAGCAATGAACATAGATATGCAGATGGCATTTCTGCTGTGTTTTTGGGCCCTCGGGATATATTCCCAGAAGTGGTATTGCTGGGTCATAGGTAAGCTCAATTTCTAGATTTCAAAAAGAATTTTTTAGTTAAATGGATACATTATTGTAACAATATTGTAAACCACAGTGACTGAAATGAGAAGAAAGGGGATGGAAAAAAGGAGAAAGTGCCTCCAATACAGGCAGACGGGGGTCTGGGTGAGGAAGATTGGGGATATTGGTGGAAGGAAGTGGACACTGATGAAGGACTGTTGTTGGAATATTGGATACCTGAAAAATCAATCATCAATAACTTGTAACTTTGTAATTCATGATGATTATATATTTTTAAAAAAGACACATAAACCTTCTTGCAATGATGAAGGCCTTAACTGCTTTGGTTACATCTTCTGAAACGTGCTCATTATGTTTATAATAAAATTAGAAAATAAAATTTTGGCTCGAACTATCCTGCTTCTTTCAGAGCCCTTATTCATTCCTCAAATCTTGCTTGAACGGGCCCAGTAACGTCTCCATTGGAGACTTTGTTGTTACTGTGTTTGGCATATCGAATACATCACGGGGAGCTTGCCAGGCTCTGCTGTGCGGGCGAGATACTCTCGGTAGCTTGCCAGGCTCTCTGAGGGGCGGAGGAATCCAACTCGGGTTGGCCTTGTTGGCTGCGTGCAAGGTAAACGCCCTACCGCTGTACTATCGCTCCAACCCCCTCCTCAAATCTTAATTTTTAAAAATCTTTTAATGATTCTATAGTTAACATTTTGAGGGTTGGAACCTTTTGAATCCAGTACAGCCTTTTACATACAGTTATTTAAAAGATTTAATGAATGACTGGAGCTATTAGTGGTCTAGAGCAGCATTTCTCAGTCGGGGCCATAGGGCACCTGTGGACTCACAGGATATTACAAAAGGGCCATGACGAAAGTTACATAAATGTGGCTCACAAGCAGTAGATACAAGGTCCAGGAGGATCGCCCTATAGCTGGAAGCCTGCCTCATGAGCAGAAGGGAGAAGGCTGCTGGAATAGAGAAGGGATCACTAAGAAATTGAAGGCTGGAGGAATCAGTTGAGATGGGAGAAATGTGCCGAAAGTAGATAATGGACCAAACATGATGACCTCTCAGTGTCTGTATTGCAAACCATAATGCTCAGAGGTAGGGTAATATCGTCTGCCATGGAGGCAGGGGGAGGGTGGGAAAGGGGGGGTATACCGGGGAGATTGGTGGTGGGGAATGTGCACTTGTGGAGGGATGGGTGTCTGATCATTGTGTGATTGTAACCCAAACATGAAAGCTTGTAACGATCTCACAGTGATTCAGTAAAATGCGATAGCGCAGCGGGTAGGGCGTTTGCTTTGCACGCAGCCAACATGGCCGACCCGAGTTCAATTTCTCCGCCCCTCTCGGAGTGCCCGGCAAGCTACCCAGAGTATCTCGCCCATGCGACAAAGCCTGGCAAGCTACCCATGACGTATTCGATGTGCCAAATGCAGTAACAATTGTCACAATGGAGACATTACTGGGCCCGCTCAAGCAAATGGATGAACAACAGGAGGACAGTGACAGTGAAAAAAAAAAAAAAGAAAAAGAAGAAAAAAAATTTGGTTCACAGCATGAAACTAATGTGGTGACTGGTAGAATAAGGGGTCAGAGGGCAGTAACAAATATGAAATAGAACCACAGTCTTAAAAATGTTGGGAGGCACTGCTTTAATGTACTCGGATGAAACGAAAGGGTTGCTCCTGAACCTAGATCAACTGTCACGAATTACATGTATTTGGGGCAGTAGTGGTGGTAACAGTGCAGTGGCCACCTTTCACACGGCGGACCCGGATTCAAACCCTGGCCTCTCATATGGTTCCCCCAAGCACCACCAGGAATAATTCCTTAGTGCAGAGCCAGAACCAGGAATAACTCCTGACCATCGCCAGGTGTGACTCCAAAGAGCCAAAAAAACAAAGAAACAAAAATTTAAATAAATTTAGATGTGTTTGTGGACCAGTGTGTGGGATCCAATAGGGAAGA